TACGCCATTAACGTCCGCGTCATTCCGCGTGTCCGAACACGCAGTCAAATCTCCAGTCATAAATGCCATTAACCCCAGTGACGGTTAAGTTTAGGGATGGGGTTGAGGTAAGTCATATCTTTTTTTTTACCTATGATGGTAAGGGAACAGTCATAAATGCCATTAACCCCAGTGACGGTTAAGTTTAGGGACGGGGTTGAGGTAAGTCATATATTTATATAACGTTAAGTCAACGGCGTTCATAAACACGCTGAAAGGCGATTATGCGTCTTGATAGCACGCCAAAAATGGAAATACGAATTGCCGTCTCATACACACGCTACTTCATGAGATCAGTCTGGTTGGGGATATTCAAATTAAATGACCCATCATACCATTGATCAGCTCTACCAAACTTGGATTTATTTTTTTCCAGTAATAAACAAACACTGTTAAGTTGTTTTGATTGATACTTTGAAGCAGCTTTGATACAATCTGAATTGTGAAAAGCGCTTTATAAATATATTTCACTTGACTTGACTTGACTTGAAATGCTCCTGCAGCTCAGTGAAATTCACGCAATCGCCGCAATCCCCATTCATGTTGCATACTTAACCAGGATGTTTTAGACTCACCCTCCATGTGGCTTCTCTCATTCTTCCCTCATAGGTTTTCCATTTATTATTCCCTGTGATATCAATCTGGAAAGATCTCTCACACAGACAGCACCATATTCCGTTTTATAACTGCCAACAGTCTGCCCAGTTTTTTCCTGCTCTCTTCACTAAGATTATGATTCTAATTATGTTCAGCAGCTATTGATTTTATCTTGCTGGAACTGAGGCTCTTGAGTTTTCTTCAGATACAGTATGTAGAAGCATGTTTAAAATATCTTAGAGAGGTACATATATTACATACAGATATGGCACAGAATGGTACTTTTTGCAAACACAATGTCCAAAAGTGGATCTACATACTGTGTTGAGAACGGTGTCATTTTAACCACATCTCAAATTATGTGTCATGTCAGATCCTGATTTAACTGAATGCAGCACCTTCCTGGATCAACATCTTTGTTGATCCTGGAACAATGTTCCAATCAACTAATCAGATTTGAGTTTACAGTTTATGTCAAGTTTAGGCTTACAACAATGGGTTATGTGCTTCTACATCAGTCTGTAGAGGAATTTACAGTTAAGACCCGAGGACCAGGTATGGTGAATGAAGCCAGTATGGTGAATGAATTACTTAGTACAATTATACTCTTAACACAGGTCACTAAACTACGTTCCTTCAGGTTGAATGAGTATGATTGGTTAAGACATAGATAAACTTAGGAAATCTACATAAATGGACATATAGTTCAAATAACATCTCTATTGATTATCCAATGGCTTAAAATGACCATCTGGGTCACATATCGGCATTTCTAGGCATCAGTTTGTCTTAAAGATGGTCATTTCATCTCCCCTGAGTGCCATTCATTCACCTCATGGAAGCCAGGACCTGTAAAAAAGGATATTGACACACACACACACACACACAGAGACACACACACATGCGCAGATACACAGCTTCTTCCAGGTTGGAGTTGGTCAAGTTCTTGCTCTGATCAGAAAACTTCCCCAAACAAAATGATGAGATGTAGCCTACTTTCTCTCAGTAAGAAGTTAAGGCAATATTCATTATTATCATTATCTAGTGATTTAAGATGCAAATTAAAGTATATGTTTTAACTGTGAATTGGTCATGTACTAGACAGGCCAGAGTGACCCTTGTAACATAGGCTGTTATGGTTAGCAAGAAGAGTAAATATATGTTTTAACATGTGTTGGGTGCTTCTCTCAAAAACAAGGAGAGAGCATGTTCTAGTGAGAAGACATGTAATTCACCTTTGGCTAAGCCCCGCCCCCCTTAGTTACTGTTGCTACATCCGTCAAACTTCATCTGCGCTCTGCATGGCTTATACTGTTAAAGCTCTTCCTGCTGAAATGTTATCAAACTTTTATATAAAGCAACAAATAAAGTGTCTGATAGAAGTAGGCAAAAGGGGCTGCAATATGCGTTCGAAGGCTATATCCAAGACATATAAACGCAAGAAACAACAAGGCATCCAAAATAGAGGCAAAAGCATAACGTTACCGGTCACAGTCAAAAAATGAACCACTGCATTTCCTACTAATCGTGACGGAAGCTGGGACTAACAATATCAGGGAGCAACACTGTTCATGCAAAGCTGGGTAGGTCTCTATTCACTTCTATAATCGTTATTGCAAAGCAAACGGACTAATTTATTACACGAGTAACTTTTGACGTTGTACACGAGTATGACGTTGTATTTATTACCAGCGTGTACTAGCGTATCAGCAACCGGTATGAGAACTGAAATCATAACCTAAAACATTATAAAACGGTCTAAATAGTATAACTTCACACTCACAGTAAGGTTAGAAGTAAAAAAAAAATGTGCTTGTTGATCTTTGCGGGGTTTAGCTGACTGAGGACGTCCACACAGTTTAATCGAAACTTGAAAGACGAAACTTGTCAGGATTTTACTTCGGTTTTGGCAAGGGAAAAAACGTGCGAATGCAAATGAGATTTAACTGCACGCCACACCGGCCTTGCTCCGTTCCCATTCAAGTTATCCATCTACTTTCTACTCCATCCCCCCAAGTCAATCCACAATCTCGAGCGTCAATGGCGGTAAATGTTCAGCTTAATGGCTCCACGGATTTCCCACAGCAGCAAGGACTCTTTGACAGCGTGTTCCTCCTTCCCCCTAGGTTTTTGGCACCAGTGCAATGATGTTAAAGGATCAGGAAGGAGGAGTAAGGAATCGAATGTCTACTTGTTTTAGGGGGAATCGAACATTCAACATAATACTTTAAACATTAAATAAAGGGAAAGTAAAGACGACTTCACACCCCTTACAGACGACTGCCACACAAACAGAACACAACGTAAAACTCTCTCATCCTTTACTGCCATCACTCCTCCTTTTATCCATCCAGAGCTCCTCTGACAGAAAATCGCGTCACTGTCCTCACCCTGTTCCCAGAACTCTCGGCCCCGCTTGCTTGCCAAAAAGTCATTCAAATCGTTTAATATTTAAAAATATAAATATTGATTAATAACTTGTGTTAAACTAATGTGGGGTCTAATACTCCACATCTGGACTAACAAATGAGGTTTCTACGGAAGGTGACAGTGATGCATGTTCCCCTTTTGGGTTCATATTGGTTAAAACAGACAATATCTTTTCCCTCCAAGGACTTAACTGGAGCAGAATATCCTACAGAGCACGTAGTGCATTATTGACCTTCAGAACCTTAGACACAATTGTCTCTTCATGTCTTATCCAGATGTTATCAATCTTGGCTAATTTGGTTGCATGAGCAAATTAATTGATTACAAAACAAGTACTTATTTATTCTCCGTAGGCCAGCTAAATGAGCAAACATTGTTACTGCATTACTGATTACTGACATGGGTCAGACCCTCAGTTACCTCTCAGATACCAAATACACACATTGCCTGTAACATATACCAAAAAAAAAAAAAAAAAAAAAGGTCATTATAGAATACAAACTTTCAAGTGTTATTTACCTATTATTTCCCTCTGATTTTAGGGATAACATGGGCGGGGGCAGGTTTAGGGATATGGATATGGTTAACATAAAATCTTTGGACTAGAATGTTGTTCCAGGATCTACAAAATATGTTGACCCCGGAATGCATCTAACTCTGCAAAATCAGGATGTGCGGGAAAGATGTTGATAGAAATGTGAATTTCATGCATACATACATTTTTTTTCTTGTTATTATTTTTATTATTATTAACAACAGCATGTACTACTAATATACATTTTATTTATTTATGTTTTTATTTATTTGTTGTATCTTTAGACATATCTAATATTTTTATTTGAAAGTTGCTTTTCTCTTATGTTGGTCTACAAAGGCAAAATCTTTAGAAGTACCTCACATGCAACCTGCTAAAATATCTTCCGAGGTCTGACATTCCCCTGCCTGGGAATCACTGATGTGAGAATTCTCCAAAGGAGTGTTTGGTGTGCTCATTCCAGTAACTGACTTTACTGTGTTTATAAGAGACGATAAGCTGGATTGTTCCTTTCAAAGGCAGGTCGGTGAACTAGGACAGTTCTTGGCTTCTTTTCCGCCTGATTTACTTAAAGCTGACCTGTTTCCTGCTGGACTGAATCTGGACCTGACTCACAGCGGGGGGTTGGGAGAATGCCAAGGGCCCCGTCTGTGCTAGTATTGATAGTGGCCCCATAATCCACAGTCCAGTCTCCAGAGTCGAGAAGGACAGTTCAAGCCACTGGCAGCAGCTCACAGCAAACACAATGTGGCTGTAATCATACTGTGCTTGTCTGTGCTGCTGTCTACTGTTTGTTTTTACTGGCATTTGAATATTCGAAACATCTTCTGGTGGTTAGATTCTGTACCAAAGTACATCTGATCAGTTGATGATAGCCAAAGAGCAATGGCTGAATTTTTAATTTGTTGTAGTCTTGATGCCCATCTGTAAACAAACAAAATAAATAAAAAATTGTGGAGCATTGTATTTTAGCACTTCTCACATTACTGCCTCCCCAGACACAATCATTTTATTCGTTATTTGCTAAAGGAGTAAATCAAAATGTATATGTGAGAAATAACTTGAGCACTAAATCTGTTGGACATTTTTACTAATGTAATGTCTGATCTCAGGACAGCTGTTATTTTGTATTTATTTTTTTATTAGTTAGTAATTGAATACTAGACACTATAGCAGAGGAATATTAGGAAATTATATATGGGTATGTACATTTATATAACACGATGCAATAAAAGCTAGGGGGTGAAATACATATTTGTTGCCCACTATATCTTATTGAATATGTAAATGCTTGCACCTTTTGTTATAGTTGTGTTTTTGGTATAGTTGAGTGATGATTTTCCACTTTGGAAACTATGCATTTTCTAAATGTCCTGTATTTATGTTTTTTTTTTTTTAGGACAGTGCAGAGAATGAGGTGGACAGAAATAAATGCTGTACGCTCTGTAACATGTTCTTCACATCTGCCATTGTGGCTCAGTCGCACTACCAGGGCAAAACGCATGCTAAGAGAGTACGCTTGGTGCTGGGAGAGTCGCCAAGTCTGCCCAAATCCACAGGTAAGATAAGCTCAAATAAATAGACATTTAATCTTGTTTTTTTTTTATTATTCATGTTACTTCATAGTCACATACGCAGAGTAGGGACACTGTAGTGAATTAGATACTCAGAGGTGTGCATGTGCTCAGACAGTTATGAATCAGAGCTGTAGGAACATAGTGACTGGTTCATATTTGAAGCCCAGAGTGTGAAACTCAACCTAGAGTTCAGTTCTGCTTTGTTAAAGCCCTCCGGCCCAGCTGTGTGTGCAGTGGTAATGAAGCTTTACACAAGCTCCAGTGAGCGTCCTAGAACACTGCATGGATCCACAGACACAAAGACATCTAGAAACATAATATTGCACTGTTGAGTAAAATTGTTGCTAAATGTGCAAAACTGTGATAAGGAGGCAGTAAGCCACCAATCACTAAGTGGACGTTTTGTTTCCTTTAGTTCCCATATCATTCTAATATGCTGCCTTGGTGCTAAACATTTCTTTAGAATTTCCAATGTTAAAAAAAACAGATAATGTTAATGTCTATTATTGTTAAATGACCCTAAACGGTAGTGTGTTTTACAGACTTGGATGAAAGTCAGTATTTGTCTTGATCATTTTTGTATTTTCTCTGATTTAGGGGAAAAAAAATAAGCAATGCTTTTAAAACATAATATTACACATGGGTCAGTGTCTTTCGCTGGTCATTTTCAGACCACAATTTAATAAATTGAGCTGTCCAAAACTGCTCAAGTTTTGCCTCAAACCACATGACGAATGAAGCCACACAATGGTGACGAATGAGTTTAACTCTGATTTCTCTAGCTATTTGAGTAAATGATACATAATACTTACTTTTAAGTGTGCACTTACCGTCCACCACCAAACTCTCGGCCGCTCTTTCTTTAAAGAAAAATGCTGTCGTCACCAGCGCAATGACTTATGTGGTAGGATTGGCTGCTAGGATCCATTTATGTACCCTCTCTTTCACAGGGAAACAGAGTTAGAGGTTATCTAAGTCCAAGTTCATTGGTGTGTTTGCACACATGCTTTACAACCGGGCACACACAATACCCATAGCGATGAGCAGCTCAGAATAATGAGAATCTTTTGAAAGGGAACAGCATTTGTAAGGATTTCAGCTGAATTAATTGCATATTGATACTTAGGGATTGGTGTTTAGAACAGAGTATCAATCAGAATGTCTGAGAAATATCAATACATTTTGCTGTAGATAAGTCTGCCAAAAACATGATGTTTATGTCTATGACAATGTTTTTACAATCCTAACAAATGGTTTCATCTATTCTCAGTGTTAATGAATAATTCAGAACTTGTTTACAAATGACTGGCCATAATGTGGTGTATAGCAGCTCTAAGAAGTATAATTAGATTTTTTTTTTTACAGTAAAGGTTTGTTTATTTATTTAATGTAGAGCCGGTGTTTGAAATGATAAAGATATGAGTACAGGCTCATGTATCTGAGGCATCATTGAATAGAATTTAAGCAATTAGTGTTATCATTCATGTGCTGCAGAAACAGTCAGTCAGGTTGCAGAGATGTATTTTATTTATTTTCTTGCTTGAAGCACAATACTGCCTGAGAATAAGTTCATGCAACAGTTATATACATGGTCAATGTCATGTATAGGCTAACTTGAAAATAATATTGAGCTTAAATGGTCAATAAAAAGAAAGAGCGAGCCATTCTACTGATGCATCTATGTCAGCCCATTGATCCATGCACATACCTAACTAACCTTCAGCCCACTCAACCACCGACTTACCACACCTACCCGGTGTAAACATGGCATAACTGTACGTTGCTGGTTGCCAAGCAATATTACAAAATTCAACTGATAATAAGTGTATGTATATCAACTAATTTTTAATGGGTTTAAACGTGGCTCGAATCAAACATATACTATTTAGATTTTTATAAACAGAGATGATGAGATAATGTATAACTTTGTTAATTAAACATTTGTGAAAACGGTCACATTATGCACATTCATATTATGTGTTCAGTCTATAGTTGTGTTTGCTTACAAGGTTACATCGCAAACTACTGGCCTTCCATGAATAATACACCGTTTTTAGTCATTTTCACATATCCATGTGAACAGGGATGGTTTTGGCAACCGTGTTATCTTTTCTGGTTTTATAACATTGTATTTAGTACATTGTTGTCATGTAAACATACGCTTAATTATGTGAAGGATTTAATTCAATAAAATATTGCTACATATAGTAAAGATATTTGTGGTGTTAGACAATATTTATATTTCAAATGAATTCTGTTCTTTTGAAATTCATATTCAAAGAATCATGAAAAAAATCTATTACAGTTTCCACAAAAATGATTAAGCAGAACAACTATTTTCAACTTTGATGATACTAAGAAATGCTTCTTGAGTGTTCACTGGAGTGATCTGGAGATGATGACTGAAGTAATGATGCTCAAAATCAAGATGTGCCATCACAGAAATAAGTTTTATGTCTGTATTTAGATTTTGATAAGCACGCGGCCGATGTAAACACGAACCGCGTGCTACACAACACACACTGAACAGAGCGAACACGAAACCGCACGCGAACATGAACGTTATGCACAAGAACGACCCTAAGTTCATCCTTTGCACTCATAACAGAAAAGAAACCTGCAGAGCATGCATGTCCAAATCAGATGTGCTGTGATTCAAACACCACACCCGCACATGTAACAAGGCACCTGACATCGGAGGAAATGTGGGAAGTAGGTTAAACTGTGAAATGTATGATGAAATTTGCAAACACCAAGAAATATTTTACACCAGTTCGTATTTTGAGTACATTTATAAAATCCGCAATGAGACTGAGCTCGAAACCTTGAATAGCTTCCGCGTCAGTGACTTCACTGTCAATCAAAAGGAAATGCAGTCCGGACTCCAGGCCAGCCGACTTCCCCATTCACCCCAGAGACGCTGAGCGTCCGTGGGCGGGACATAACCGCAGCATTTTCCCAAAGACCGTCTAGTTTCGAAGCACTGAAAAAAACTGTTCAAAACAGCCCTGCTGAGTTTCAACGGGAAAATGCCATAAGGAAATGCACTGAGATTGCATTTCAATGTCTCACTGTCATTGAGACTTGGGACTGGGAACCACATGTCAATTTTCTCGTATTTGAGGTGTGGTTAATGTGGCATGTGCTAAGAATGTCTATTAAATGCGCCTTGATGTAGCTCACAGTCAATCGTTTCAATTATACCAGATGACGTATGTAGAGCGACAGAATTAGACGAGGAAGAAGTCGATGGGTTTGAGATTTATGTGTACACGATGGCGTGTATCTAAAGGCCGTTTCACACCGCGTGCGTGAGCGGCGCTTATTTTTTCCAGTGTGCATGTTAATCAATGAGTGCATTCACAGGGGTGCAGGAGCAGCGTGTGAGCGTCGAGCAAGAGCGGTGCGTAAGCATGCAGTGCTCAATTAAGAGCACCTATCATGGATTTTTGAAAATGACTGTTCATGTAGTGTGGAATATAGCTCTAAGGGAATGAAAATATCCTGCAAAGATTTATATCTGAAAGTGCACCTTATATAAAGTTATTGTCTTTCAAAAGTGAGAGTCGACTCACTTTTGTCTTTCAAAAGTGAGAGTCGATACAAAACATTAGCTCATTGGCCACTCCCAACAACTGCGCGCAGAGGGGAGTGTAAACTTGAAGTCTAGTCTAGAACACATTCAAAAACTTCGGCTGAATAGCGTCATGTCGAGAAGACGCTGTGCTCTACATTGCAAAGACAGTTCAGCCACTTGTTTTCATTGCCCAGGGATGAGCATGTGGTTAGAGTTCATATTTGCAACAATACCACAACAGTATAGCCTGAACCTTGTGTTCTCATCATTTTAATGACTAATCATCATCATTCCAAAACATAAATGAATTCAAATGTGGATTCGCAAGCTGGTTGTTCCCGAAGGAGGGCTCAGTATCCAGTGTATATGGATCAGGTTCGTCCTCCTCCGAATCACAATCTGTTATTATTAATGTTTGCTGTTATGTTTTCTGTAGCATGCACAATATAGTTATATTGTGTTGTGTATACTCCGCTCTTCTTCTAAGCGGGGTAAAGTTAGTTTTGTTTTTGATATTCATTGAAAAATGTCAATTACCTCCTAAATGACTTAGCCAAATATGACTTCGCTCTATATAATAAGCACTGCCCCTCAAAAGCCGCCGCAACTGTGAGTTTCGCTGGAAAAGCTCACTCTTGACGGAGACGCGAGTAAGGGACTTGAGCGAGTGTTTTTTCAAACACTATATACAATTTTCAACACTTGACAAGCTATAATCCTGGTTATGGGCGTTCCATTGCCAACAATCTCTGCCTACGGTTTAGCAATAACAACTGACTGGGTCATTTGACCAATCGCCGCAGATTCGCATCACTCAAAGGAGGTGTTTGGGAAAATGAATCGAACGAATCATTTGGGAGTCGTTGAGAAAATCGGGTAAAAAATAAATGCATATTATACAGCATTTTTTTTTTTTTTTTTTTTTATCCTTACATGCACGTTATCCTGTTTTTGGGAACTCCAAAAACAAAAATAGGAACATTTCAAATGCTATGATAGGGGCTCTTTAATTTAGTTTATGTAACACACAGACAGCTACATAGGACTGCAGAACCCAAATCAAACCCGAGTGTATGGTTTATTTGTGAGTTTTGTTTTTTATCCGGTCTTGTAAACATGTTGGAAATATGACTGAAACTAATAGATTGGAACCATTTTCTGGGTTGTTTTGTTGTTTAACATTTATATGTGAATGTTGTACACCTCCCCATAACTTTCAAGACTATCAATGTTGTAAATTTGCAGTGTGAAACGGACGACCGTAAAGCTGCATCGAATGGTAACTTCGTGTGTGCTGCCATGTTGGATCCATAGGTATAAACAAACTGCTTCGGTGTGTCGCACACAGAAGACGTCGTCATCGTCTTGCTGCTGCCTCCCCATTTTGTGATTACTTCCCTAAATG